TTGTAGGGAGAGGAGAACATTGATTCACTGTTGGTGGAAGTGCAAACGGATACAACCATTATGGGAATCAGTGTGGAGTTTTCTCAAAGAGCTAGAAATATATCAGCCATGCAATCCCTTATATCACCACCATACTCTCAGAGGACTTTATATCTTAATACAGAGATACCTGACCATATATATATATATATATATATATATATATATATATATATATATATATTCATTGTTGCTCTATTTACAATGGCTAGGAAAATAAAATAACCCAATGCCCATCAATTATTGAATAAAAAAATGAAAATGTGGCACATTTACCCATGGAGTACTATTCAACTATAAAGAAAAATGAAATTATGACATTTAAGGTAATGGTTGGCGCTGGAAATAATCATTCTGGGTGAGATAAACCATTTTCAGATATGCATGCTGAAATTGGAGTATCTCAAGAAGTCAGGAATATAGGAAGGGACCATAGTGGAGAGTCTCAAGAGGAACAGCTAGAATACAGTGGTATAAAGGGGGAAGGACTCAATGGAATGGGGGATAGAAGGGCAGAGCAGAGGAAGGGATAAAAGAAGAGGATAACTAATCTGAGAACTTTTTGGAAAGTCATATGAAAACCCACTACTTTAAAAGCTATCCATAGTATGAACCTATATAAAGAGTTTAAATAGAGCTATCCTTATATAACAGGGTGTTTTAGTTAGGGTTACTATTGCTGTGATGAAACACCAAGACAAAAAATGACTCGGAAGGAAAAGGTTTATTCTACTCACAATTCCATATAACATTTGGATCATTAAAAGCAATGAAGGTAGGAATTCAACCAGGGCAGGAACCAGAGTCAGTAAATGATGTGGAGGCCATGGAGGGGTGCTGCTTACTGGTGTATTTCCCATGACGTGCTTAGTCTGCTTTCTTATAGAACCCAGGGCTACCAGGCCAGGGATGACACCATCACAATGGACTGAGCCCTCCCATTGATCACTAATTTAAAAAATACCCTATAGGCTTGCCTATTGCCAACTCTTTTGGAGGCATTTTCTCAGTTGGGGTTCCTTCCTCTGTGATGATTCTAGCTTATTTCAAGTCGATATAAAACTACCCATAGCACAGGGAGACAGGGCTTCCACAAAACCACAGGTTACTTGATGTCTACAATAAAGAAGTATTTGTGAGACATGGCAAGACTGTTTCACGTATGAGCTCACTGCAGATGCTGCTGCATGCACCAGATCAAGCCAGCACTGATGAGGGAGGACTCTTCTCCAGCTGAAGTGCTATTACAATTGATGCATGTACTGGCTTTTTGGGAGCCTAGTCTGTTTGGATGCACACCTTCCTAGACCTGGATGGAGGGGGAGCCTTAGACTTCCCACAGGGCAGGGCACACTGACTTCTCTTAGGACTGGAGAATAAGGGGGAGGGGGAAGGAGGAAGTGGGAGGGAAATGGGAGGATGGGAGGAGATGGAAATTTTTAATAAATAAATAAATAAAACAATTGATGACTTCCTTTAACACACTTTCTGCCAGCCCCCAAATCATGGCACAGAGACTTATTATTAATTACAAATTCTCAGTCTTAGCTTAGGCTTGCTTCTAGCTAGCTTTTTTTTTTTTTTTAAAAAAAAAAAACAAAACCTTAACATTTCTATTGATCAATGTGCTGCCCCAGGCTTGCTTACCTCATCCACATACTGGCCACCTTGCTTTCCAGCTTCCGCAGTGTCTGGATGGCTGGGTTGTCTGTCTGTCTGTCTTCTCTTTTCTCTCTGCCTGCCAGCCCCACCTATTCCTCTACTGCCTAGCCATTGGCCATTCAGCTTTTTATTAGACAAATCAGGTGCCTTAGGGAGGCAAGGTGAAACTGCTACACATCTTTACATAGGTAAACAAATGCAGCAGAAACAGAAGCAACACATCTTTATTATAATTAAACAATTATTCTGCAACACAAATGAGTACAAAACATCTTTACATGGTTAAATAAATTCTATTCCACAACTTCTGTGAGAGGAAGATTCTGTTTTTTTTTTCCCCTCAGGGATACAACCCCTGAGAGGCTGCCCATCTTCCAGTAGATGAGGCTTCACCCATTCACATACGTGCATCAACGGAGAATGGAGGGAAGAAAGAGGGAAAGAAGGAGGAGGAGGAGAGATCACATGAATTTGGAAGAGAAAAATGGTAGTGAAAATATAGGATGGATTGGAAGGGAGGGAATGGGTGGATCTTATCAAAACACATTACATGCTTGTATGAGATTCTCAAATAATAGCAAATACATAGGGTGATGCCTCTCTTTTCTGATGGGGAAGCTCAACCAATCACATCTGGTTAGGGTGTGGCCGCCTGGAGCTCAGGTAGAAAAACTGGGAGATGCAGGTGGGCGCTCTCTCTTTGCGGTGGCCGCTGGACCTATCGGATTTCGGAATTCCCATTCTTGTAGTGTAAGTTTTCCCCCTCTTTAACCATTAAAGTATTCCTGTTACTCTTGAGCTAGCCTGGTTACTTATTATTCCGACCTAATTCGTTACACTTTTCATCTTCCAAATCTCTAAAATACAGGCTTTCCCTCCCAGTCTAGGAGTGAGGGAATCTAGGATTGTGCTTTGTAAACTTCCTGCCTCCAAACACTGAGAAGCAGTGAAACAGAAGGGCTTGTAAACAGGACAGCCCTTAAACAAAGTTTTTTGGGGGCTCATCTAGTCATAGATATTTACACCATGATAACTTAAAAGGATTTGTGGTTGAAAACAGGCCACTGTGAAATACCTCTTTGTGGTTTCTGGTTCTCTAGGCCTTGAACATCTGGTTGTATTATTATGGTATACATGATGAAAGGGCCTTCCACAAAGGATTTGCTAGTCCAGTCCAGCTGAGATATTAGACCTAGGCACCAAGAAATGTAAACCTTGCCCCAGACAGTACTAAGTGCTGTGGGCAGTGGTGTTAAAGTGTTCCGGAAATATGGAGTTCTTGGGGGAGCTGAGGCTTTCTCTATCAGGACCCACAGAATAATAAGAACTGAAAATATTGGCTTGCCTGTTGGTATGTTTTATTGTAAAAAAGATCAACCATGCAGGCCATATTTGATCCTGAGACATATACTTCTATGTTTGTCCAGGGTAATTGTTAGTTACATGCTAGACATCCATATATTCCCAGAATTTGTGCAAAAAACTTCAAACCTGGCCCAGAAATTTAGGTATGTGTAGTCAAAGAGATTTTTTCCTAAGGGGAAGTATGGCCAATCTAAGGACCTTGGAATTTGTAGTTTGAGAGCTATTTTCTCATTGTGTTTTGGAGTCACAACAACCATTAAAGTTTGAGCCTTTGAAAGTTTAAGGCTAGAAATAATGGATTTTTCATAAGCACATGGGGACAGTTAAAGTGAACTACATGAATAGGATTGGTGTGGGGGAAATGTGTGGAGAAAAGGACGTAATCTGGAGCCCCAAGAAATACTGATGTCCACATGGCAGACTGTTGAGAAACCGTTCAGACACTGTTCAGAACAGGAGACAAACTAAAGCCAGTGAGGACGAAAAATTTATGGAATAGGTGGGTGCCAATTCATGCTGAATCCTCTGAACTATAAAACTAGGGTGCCGAGAGGATAATGTGTGGTATGTGCATGTGTTTGTGTTGTGTATGTGTATGTGTGTGGTGTGTATGTGTGTGTTCACTGCTCACGGTGTTATTTCTTTTAAAATTTGAGTGATTAAAGATTCACATGGAATTTTGTTATTTCCTTGGGATAGACTTGCAGCATTGAAATGACTGGATAAAGGGGGCTAACACCAGGCTTTTTTTTAACTTTATGTTTCTCTGGTGCATTCTTAAGTTTCAGGTTCACTCATTCATTATTTGACATGGAACCAAGACAGCCCGGGTAGCCTGGGGTCAAGTGAGGAAACCTGCAGTTGAGCAGAACAAAGTGATGGCCTTCTCTGGCTGGGAAATTCTTTCCAAATGGTCACATTTCAGCTGGTCTCCTCTCCTCGCTTCTTATTTCTACATTATCTGTCTTTCGTCAAAGATACCAGTGAAACAGGGGCATTTAATTATGAGCTTCCCCTGCACAGAAGTTTAAGTAATCTCTTAGGAGAGACATTCTTTTTCTAGTTCAGTGGAAGGTACCTGGGAGTAAATGTGTGGCAAAAACGGTGCCGGATTAAGGGCTGATAATCAGACTGAGGTACTTAAATATAGGATTTTTGTTTGAAGTCTGAGATTTGCTTACTGCTTCAAGTGATAAGAATAAGTGATAAGGATCCACTACTTATAGGAACTCACTATCTAATATGCTCAAAACGACTTGCCTTTAACTGCCAAATGACTTCATTACAAATACTTCTGTCTTTTTCTTTCTCTGAGCCTATGGGCTTTGATGGTAGTAAGAAGCCTTAAGAAATTTACTTTATCTTCAGTTAGGTGAGAAACTGAATAAAAACCCAGGTCTTCAGTTTCAGCCTTTGTTTCCTACAGATGTCCCAAGGAAGCTATTTCTTTTGTCATTAAGATAAGACATTTGCTTCCCTTCTTGACTTCTGCCCACATTCATTTCAACAGATGGACCCATTTCAAGTACTACAAACACTAGCTTCTACTGGGTTGTCTTTGTCTACTGGAGGACCTGTGGGTTGAGTCTGAGTCACACACATTTTACGGCGTCTGCTCTGGCATGAGCTTCATATACATTGGCATTGTCTCCGAGTGAAGTTGACTCTCTTTCCCGATTCCATAATTTCAGGTGGCCCCATGTGTGATTCCAAAAGCATCCTGAGGCCCATTTGGATTGGCTTTAGCCAGCATAGCCTAGCCAGGTTCACTCTGAGAGGTTCCTGTCCCTTCATGAATGGCCACCCGAAGCTTCTGCTCTGGTTTGCGTTCTAATAGCACCCCTTGCATGGATTATTCCAAAGCAACGCTTTGAAATAATGCGCCCCTACTTGTGGCTTTTCTTGCTGCAGTTTCTGTTCTTTTTTTATTGTAGGATCTGGAGACTCACCACTAGAAGATGATGGAGTCTGGTACTCACACTCTCTCTATAAAGGTGAATGCTTTGCTTATGTGCTGACAAGGACCTGCTGATGCCAGGAGAATTTATCTTTAAGGCTGTGCGGAGCAGAGTGTAATAAAGTGACCAGACAACACACTGGAGTTCTAATGCTCTGTCCTGGAAGATAAATGTTTAAAAAAAAATAAATGTGCATAGGCGCTCATCCTTCTGACAGAAAAACAAAGGGAAGAAAAAGACATCCCAGAAGTGCTGTCTTTCAGCAGCCCGTGGTCATTTTATTCTCCTACATTTCTTTGCTCTCCTTACTTCTGCAAAGGCTGGTGAAAGTGAAAATCAAGGCTGATTGGTACATTACAGCTAGGACTGTCCAGAGCAAACCCCTCAAGGTGAACTCTGCACCCGGTGCTGCTAATGTCCAGAGCAAATGGAGAATATGAAACTTGATTTTCATCAGGTCATCTCATGCTCTTTCTGAGCCCAGCATGGCTCCTAAAATGATAAGTAAAGTGTGTTGTTGCTCAAATGAATTTGAACTTAATAGTAAGAAATCCAGCTCTCCACATTTCCTCCAGTATCCACTCCCAGCAGGTATATAAAGCCTAACCCAGACCTTCTATACTGGCTCAGGTAAGTATATCCACAAATACTCTTCCTGCTGCTTCCCTGAAGGCAGGGAGCTCAGGATAGAAACGAAGGTACATTTAAATGCTTTTTATGTGAAACTGCTCCTTCTTACTGTAGAGGAAAACTCTGAAGAAAATAGGCTGGTAAAGTTCCATTTTGACATTTGGTCCAAAAATTCATCCATACCCTGGCAATAAAACCAAAGTACTCCCCTAGACTGCAGACACTTTTCTGAGCTATCGGGGAATGGAAATAGTTCCGGTCAGCCTTTGCCTAAAGACTGTCCTTCAATTTTCCAGAGAAATGGGAAAGATTTCTAAACAAGGACTGGTGCCTATGCCTAGCTGTATTTCTGTATTTGCTTTGATTTCTGCACACCAAAGCTCACTTGTTAAATAATCTCTATCCTCACTGTCTTGGGCATTAGGTAATTTAATCAAGCACAAAGGTTCTAGTCAGATGTTTGTGGTAAGGAGATACTCTGATTCATAAAACTTCCCGAAAGGTTTTTACAGGTCTCTTTGAGTCCCTACTTGAAAACGTTCCTAAAACGCACGCAATGTAGAAAGACTGCAGTAGGGGTTACCTCGTGTCCTAAGGACATTGTGCCCAGTTACCTCCCAGTAGATCATATACCTAAAATTATGCCTACCCCAGAACCTTCCCTGGAGGTCTAAGAATAAATCTATTTGTGATAAATTATCTGTGTTGTCAGTTAAATAGCTCGCTGGCAGGAATCATCACACTATACAATCATATGTATGTACACATATGTCAAAACATGTACCTTCAGTTTTTGCAATAGAGAGCTAAGGATCTTTCTTCTTGGTATTCCTGTTATGATAAGGATTGGACCTCAGGATTTACTCATGCTAGACAACTGCTCTGTTCAAGAGTTACACCTCAGCTTTTAGGTGTCATTAATGCTAAAACTTAGATGTCAACCATGATTAACTGTGAGGTTCGCCCTGGAATACTAAGCTCCTCAGTGTCTGGCACAGAGTGTATCGCCAATAAATGATTTGAATTAAATCAAATTTAAAAGTAGAGAGAAAGATTAAACAGAATACATTGGATTCCTAGGATGTGACATCTTATTTATTGATTTGTCTTTATTTACTGACTTGAGTGCTGTGGATGGAACACAGCCTTGATGGTTTTACTTGGGATAGCATAATCTATTCGCACTAATTGAGGGAAGGAGAAGGTACACGGTGATGTGTCATTATTATCCCCTGTTAATAGAAAAGGGGACCAAGGGTTCTAGAGAGGAGGAAGCAAGTCAGTCCTGTGTCACTCGCTCAGCTGACAGATGCTGCACTGGAGTCTGCGCAGGCGTTGTGGCTCCCGTCTGCAGTGCACTAGTCGTTTCCCATTAGCCTTCCGCACCATGCTGCCTACTCAGCAGACTACATTTAATTCAAGTTCTCAGGACATTGGCCCAGGGGGGGTGCAGAGGCTTTCCTGATTCATCAACTTGAATGTCTACTTGCTAAACCTTGTCTTCAACAGCATACGATCTTCCTTCCTCAAAGCCTCTATGTTAAACATTTGTTAATTTACTTGACTAACCCATGGTGCTTATATACCCTTTACATCTGAGTCATTCCCACACATTCCCATTGCTGGTACTAAAGCACTGTTAACTTATTAAAACACTAGCCAAAGATTCTTCCTGGAAAGCAAGAAAAAAATAAAATGCCCTTTGCAAATAAATGAATATGAGATTTGTTTTCTTCACAGAGTGACAACAGCACAACTTTTGGATATGTGGTTAACAATGATAGAAGAATTTGAAGAGTCAAAATGAGGGAGAGAAGTATCTGATTATGCTGTATTCAAATATGTAAATTTGTAATACGTGAAAGCACGCACAGATCTTACTCACGCAGAACGTAAATATACATAGTACACGAAGACTGCACGTACAAAGTCTTCCAGAAAGAAAGAGTTCCAGGAATGCCCGTAGGCCTGATGTGAGCCCTGTACATCTATATCCACATGGTAGAAGTGAATAAGCTCTAGGGTAAGCTCCCATCTATCCAACTAGACTAGCTAGGGAACGTTACTGAGTCTTCAATTTTGGATCCACTTGCCACTTTCTGCAAACCATTATATAATTAAAAAAATTAGCCAAAGGGAGCCTGAAAGCATTAGAGTAAAAACTGTTGTGTTGCCAAACCCTGGACTTTAGCAGGACTGACTAGCAATCAGAAACATGTCCTTAGGAGAGGGTTCCTGGGCAGAGCAGAACAAGGCCTGTGTTCCTTCCTGGCCACATGATGGCGAACTTTCTCCATTTTCTGGCAGCTGTGGTGCCTTTGGGCAATGAAGAGCCAGGGAACTGTAGAAAAGTAGCATTAACTCCACCCCACCCTGAGACGAGGGGGCTTATTGTTGGCCCCCAGATAGTGCAGGGAACTGATAGACTGGCAGCTGCGGGAAGTCCTCAACTAAGAAGGCAGTCTTGTCCTTCTTTAGCATGGCTCTCAGAGAGTACCATCCAAAGACAGGGGAGAAGTTCATCATTATTAGTGACATCCTAGGTATGCTCTGGCCAGTTGGCCTACTTTGCTTCCCTGTTGCTGTAATAAAACACAGATCAAAGAAACTTGTGGAGGAAAGGCTTTTTTTTTTTTTTTTTGGACATACAGATTACAGCCCACCACCAGGGGGAGCCAAGGCAGGAACCTGAAGGCAGGAACTGAAGCCGAGACTATACAGGGGCGCTACTAACTGGGCTTATTCTTCATACCATGCTTTTACAAGATATGCAAGGTCACTTGCCCAGAGTTGACATCACTCATCCCTGTGATCTGGGCTATTTCCCATCAATCATTAAGCAAGACATGTCCATAGGCCAGCTGTTCTCCACCTGTGGGTTGGGATCCCTTTGGAGGTCACATAGCAGATATTTACATTATGATTCAAAACAGTAGCAAAGTTGCAGGTAAGAAGTAGTGAGAAAAAATATTTTTATGGTTGGGGGTCACCACAATGTGACGAACTGTGTTAAAAGGGTCACAGCATTAAGAAGGTTGAGAACTACTTTCCTAGGCCTATCTGATGGAGGCATTTCCTCATTTGAAGTTCTATCTCCCCATGACTCCAGTTTGTGTCAAGTTCACAAAAATTAACCAACACAGCAACTATGAGACCAATATCAAAGCACTCTACAAATTTTCCATCTGAGGAGGGTGTCATTGTCTTTAACTAGGGATGTATAGAAAAGGGGAGCAATAGTTCCATTAGTGTAAGCCAAAATGGAACTCTATTATGAACACTGGTGTAGCTTGGTTCAAATGAGCAGACAGGAGTACTGTGGTTTTCTTTCTAGAGAACCCACATATAGCTGGGAGGAAGACACAGTTAGTTGACACTTTGTTGTGCGTTGATGGCTAAGGTGGAAACTCACGATGGCATCAATTAGTCCCAAGAGATTAGAATATCATGTTAAGGGACATGCTAGAAGGAACAAGTGCTTATTGAACATTTACATTGTGCTCAACACTGTGCTAGGCAATTTTCTATATCTTATCGTATTTGCCTGCTATCATTGGCACAGGGGCTCACTCAGAGAGTTGAGGTAGCTTGTCTGCATCACACAACTAATTAGAGACACTTGGATTCATCTTTAGTTATGTCTGACACACAGTCTCCCAGTCCTACCTTCTTATCTACAGATATCTAATGCATAGGGCGCGATTGGAAGTCCAGAATCTGGACTGTAGCCAGTCTGAGAGCACAAGCGTGAAGGGCTGCATTGTCTAAACCTGTCACTTCTTATGTCTCCCTTCGTTTGTTTCTGCCTGTAGACACTCCGTGGTGCTCCCCCATCAAGGTGAAGTATGGGGATGTGTACTGCAGGGCCCCTCCGGGGGGATACTACAAAACGGCCTTGGGGACCAGGTGTGACATTCGCTGCAGGAAGGGTTACGAGCTTCATGGCTCTTCCCAGTTGATTTGCCAGTCAAACAAGCGCTGGTCGGATAAGGTCATCTGCAAACGTAAGTAGACCAGACCTGTGATGAGTCTCCAGGGGCAAAGCTGTTTTGCTATGATATGAAGCTTTTCACAGAGGGTTTTTTTTTTTTTAAAGTTGATTTCTCCTTTATAGCAGAGGGATGCATGCATCTTTTTGGGGAGGGGTATGGTGCATTTTGGGGGGAAAGAATGGACAAGAGACTTTTCGCAGCACAGGTTACTTGTTCAGTAAATACAGGATTTCGAGGAGTTGCTGGTGATTTAGAAGCAAATAAGACACTTCCAGGGCTTGTCAGACTACCACAGAGGTAACTGGGTAGAAGTGAAATCCATGTGATAGGTACAAGGAAGACCCTAAACCAGGGGCCCCTGGTAGTAGATTAAATAAAAGAAAATCCATGAGGGAGTGGGTCTGGGAAGAAGTTGGCGTATTTCCAGGACAATGTCTTAAAGATGGTCTGTATAGCTTCTGACTTGCTGGCTAACTCTGGAGGCAGGTAGACTACCTTCATGACAAGTCCTCCCATATTAAAGCTGTGGAGGCTATAGCATTGGGAAGCCAGTTTGGGACTTTATTATACAAAGTTGCCATGCCTTATTGATTGCTCAATGTTCTCCAAGTCTTTAACATGCATTCAAGTTTTTTTCACAGTATATGATAGACATGGTTGGGGAAACTAAGTCTCAGGACTGTAGTCACATGGCTCAGAATATGTAAGTGATGTAACTGGGTCTGTGTAGTATACACTTAGCAATATTTCACCAGGTTTCCCTGTCTCCTGTTCCTAGTTCCTGGTATCTTCCCCAACTTCTGAATGCCTTATCATTGGTTTTCTTTTTTTGTTTGTTTGTTTTTGTGTTTCCCTAGAACTGGGATGTGAGCCTATGCCTGGCAAATGCTGGGTAAATCTGCCACTCAGCTATATTCCTAGCATTATAAACTAACTAACTAACCAACTCACTAACTAACTCACTCACTCACTCACTCACTCACTCACTCACTCACTCACTCACTCACTCACTAAAACCCTCTTTATTTTGAGGCAGGATCTCACCAACTTGGAAAGCTGTTGGAATCTCAGTTTGTAGCCCAGCCCAAGCTTTGAACTTGCCATCTTCCTGCCTCAATGTCCTAAGAAGCTGGGATTGAAGGGCTGTGTCACTAGACACAGCCACATTTATCCACGCTTCAGCTTTCTTCAGAGAAAGAAGAAAACGTCTTACAGAAAACTCTTTCTCACTGCTGCTTTTCTACCCACTTCCTATTTGTTTATTTGGTTGTTTAGTTATTTATTGTAGCCTAGGATGTCCGGCCTTGGTTTCCTGAATCTCCTTCACCAGTGTGAACTACCAGCCCAGCTTTTATTTTATTTTATTTTATTTTATTTTTACAAGTGAAAGGCTCTCCCATGGGCAGTTCTGTCTAATGACTAAGTAACAAATGGCGGTTCCAGGTGTGGAGGTTGAATGGGAACTGGCAGCTTCCCTCCAGGGTGCCCCTGAAGGAGCAAGCTGAGGCTGATTCTGCTATCTGTCACCCCTTGTTGGCACTCTCCTCATCTTTCTCCTGTTATCCCACTTTTTCACTGGTCTCCCCTGGCAACACTCCCTTCCAAAAGTGTTAGCATGCAAATCCTTCTCTCAGGGTTTGCCTCTGGCAAATTCGGTCTAAGACCTTGTTGCAGCTGGGATACGAAAGCCACCTAACTGTGATATGAAACTTCATGTCTTCTATGTGACACATGAGGAGCCATTGTTTAATGCCACATGTTATATTGCAGCAAGCTGTTCACTGCATGCTTTCCAAGTGTCTGGATTCTGAACTTGTGGACAAAAACTAGGAAACCTTGAATACCCGATTCTCTCCTTTTTAGAAAAGCGATGCCCTCCCCTTGCCATGCCAGCAAATGGAGGGTTTAAGTGTGTCGATGGTGCCTACTTCAACTCTCGCTGTGAGTACTATTGCTCACCGGGATATACATTGAAAGGGGAGCGGACAGTCACGTGTATGGACACCAAGACCTGGAGTGGCCCACCAGCCTCCTGTGTGGGTAAGTAAACGTCACAGACCTCAGAAGCCACTTCTTGGGAGAGGAGCAGTGGGTCTTTGTTGGTATAGTATACATTAAGGGAAACAATTTAAACAGCCAGCATTGCATTCAATAGTGTTTCAGTGCCTAGGCCCAGCCCAAGACCTCAGACTCTATCTTAGCTGACTTCAAGGCAGCCTGCTTTTAGGCTGACTGTTGTCAGTGCCTAGGCTGTCACCCTGGGAACTAATGAGAAATGGGACTCTCATGTTCCTCTCTACTTCTTGAATTTAAAATTCTGGAGGTAGAGCCCAGCACTTTGCATTTTCAGAGGCCCTCTAGAGAGTTTCAAGTATTCAAATAGAGGGCCACTAAACTCAGGTACTGAAAGTTTTCAGTGCCTGAGAATTTTCTGGGAACCTTGAGAAAAATGCAGATTTCAACTCAGTCAGTCTTGGGAGTCAGGCTTGGGGGGATTCATCCTGTATGAGAAGGTTCATGAACATTAGAACAGCAGACATTTGGGGTCAGACAATTTTTACTGTGTTCCTTTACTTTTTGTACCATGTGATATCGGAGAGTGCTCTTAGATTTTAACCCACTAAGTGCTTAAAGACAATGTCTCCATGCCCTGTCCCCAACCTAATCGTGGCTATCAGAAATGTCTCTAGAGATATTTTCAGTGGCTCTGGGGAAGAAAATTTACCCATCCATTGACAACCACATGCCTAGGGGCAGTGGGTTCTCACCATAGCTACCTGTAATTGCCAGCTGGGTACCTTTCTGTGACTTCCCTTAGAGATTCTGATTCAATTAACGTGACAAAGAGGCAGTTGGAAGAGGCCAATAGGGTTCTAAAATCGGCTCAGGTGATATTCCTGCTGGAGATCTAGGCTCAGGCTCTGAAAGCAGCATTAGAAATCCCCAAGGAAAATGCAAATTCCCTGCCCAGCTGAGGCCGGCCCAACAGTCTGCTTCTCTAAAAGCCAACAAAGGTAATTCCGTTGTGAGCCAAAGTTAGAAAACCTGCTTTAGGAGTTCAAATTTAGGAAGGAGTTAAAAATCTTTATACTCAAAAATACTGTTCTTGGATAGGCTGCGTCAACCTCAGGAGAAAGACCAAGGAACACAAAATCATGAAATGGTCACAGATGTAGAAAACCAAAATACATCTTTGGATTCTGGTGTTTCTTTAGAGGTTGAGACAGCCAGCTCTAGGGCAGTGTTTTCTGCAGCTGACTGCCACTGGAGCCCAAGTCTCTGAAGTGCTGGGATTGTACTGAAGTTCTTGAAGCCCTTGAGAACCACTGTCACAGAGGGCCATTCACTCCTAAGCTCTGGGAGCTGCCAGACCCTGCCCTTGGAGAACATCAAAACAAAATCTCGCATTGTTTTTAAGTGGATTTTGTTAACTCTTTGAGATTTTCATACAATGTACTTGGAACACATTCACCCCAACTCCTCCCCACTCCCCACTTTTCTGTGGACAAGGGCTGAGCATAGGCTAGAAGAGCAACAGCGAAATGGTAGTGTAGGCCACAACTCTACGCTCCCATGTTATTGACACCGTGATGGATGAGAAGGGAGAGTTCAGCCAATAACCACTGAAGGTGCTATCAGAAATAGAATGGCTCCTACTGCCTTCCTGCCCTCTATCTCATGTCAGCGAGACCTGTGTGGCACCCAGCTGACAAAAGAATCTACACAACTGTTGCTTTAAGACGTAGTGATGGCCCCAAAGGGGACAATATGACAAAGCTGAGTGCCAACAAAATATTTAGCGGATACACCTTTCTCTAAAGATGAGGTGTCTCCACTGCTGAGAAGTTCTCCTTGGTGAGGACAGACAGAATGTGCTGGCAGTGGTGATGGTGAGATCTGGACATGCACATTGCTAAGCCCATGTGTTCAGCGCAGAAGAGCACCTCACAGATGCTGCTTTTGGTATGTATCTTGTGCTTTGCTGTGTGCAAACTAGCCCTTGAAAACAAACCAAAGGAAATCAGTCAAATCTCTGTTCCCTTGTATTGGAAGGAGCAGAGGTCACGGTGTGGGAGAGGAGAAGCCCAAAGCTCTTTCTGCTAAGCAAGCTTTGGCAAGCACTCTGGGGACATATTGTTCAGATTTCCAGATTGTGCACAACAATGGAAAGAAAATGCTGATTGTTCTCAAAAAGCAGCAAGCATGTCTAAAGCCAGCCCAGATGGCCCTGGAACTTGCCCAGAGGGAGAGGGAAGGAAGTAAGAAATGAACCCCAATTTCAGGCAATTTATCTTACCGTTTGCTGAGACAAGTTTCAAGTGTATTGGAGAAATGGAAAATGTATATGCAACTCGATGGGAATGGGAAGTGGGGTGCAGAGTCCCCAAGAGCTTAGAGCTCCAAGGTGAATGAAAAGAACAGACAGAGAAAGCAGGCAGTGCTTTCTGACTTCAGAGACAGACAACCTGGAGTTTGTCCCCAGTGAATTTTGCTCCAATGCTATCATTTACTTCTTTGGCTTTATTAATAAGTTGCTTGTGTGCTGGCAGGAACAGGCTTCCTTGAGCATAACTCAGAGCCTCAGCCTATTTTAGGAATTGACACATGGCGCTTGAGTTGTTCCCAGGTTTCCACACAACCTTCAACAGCACATTTTGGCCCGAACTGTGCTGAGAGCTAAGAAAGCTAACCCAGTTCTTCTGCAAACTGGGAGGGAATGGGAAGGCTGGGCCGTCTTTGACTCCAAGGTGGCCAGTTCTGCGGTCTGGCTCATTTGTAAGTGCCACAAGTCAGGATTCATTCTCTGCCTCAGACTAACGTCAAGCTCAGTTCTTTACGAAATGAATAGGGTCATGTAGGTGGAGAGAAAGCTTACTGTAAGCTGCAGGGGAGTGAAGACGTTAAGAAGCCCTTTCCTCCATCCGCTGAAACTACCTTGTGTGCAGAGATATTTTCATTTCTGTCATTTTTTTATTTATTTGATTCCGTAGAACAATGAACAGTAAGAGTAAACACAAATCCTCATTTAGAGACCCCATTTTCAGTAGATGTATCTCTCTGCTATGGACCAAAACATTTTCCTCCTTCAAAACAAGAAGAAAAAAACTACAGTTTTAAAAGCATGGAAGAAGAAAGATTAGTAGATGCCTTTTGTCATGAAGAGAATACTCATTTTGTTGCTTTAACAAAGGACAATATACAAACAGCTTGGTTGCTGAAATTCCTCTTTCTTTTTTATGTCTTCTGCAGAGTAGAATAACATAAGTTAAATCCTGGAATAAAGTTGGGTAGTGTTGGTGCAAACCTTTAATCCCAGCACTCGGGAGGCAGAGGCAGGCGGATCTCTGTGAGTTCGAGGCCAACCTGGTCTATAAGAGCTAGTTCCAGGACAGACAAGCTCTAAAGCTACAGAGAAACCCTGTCTTGAAAATCTAATAATAATAATGATGATGATAAAATAAAAATTTAAAAACCTGGAATAAAATATATCTTTGAGAAATAACATATGGAAATTGATGGCAAACATTTTGCTGTGTGGTGATTTTGTTTAACCAGTGGCTCATGGGGATAGTTGTTCGGCTTCAAGTCATTATTCCATTGCTACAAATATCAGCAGGGGTAGGAATAAATGAACCAGTGCATTGTTAAAGATTATTTTATATGATTTTTCCCCAGGCTGGTAAATACACATACCATCAGGAATCTAATTCCAGTTTTACGACCACTTGGTTGATGGAAATACTGTTCCCATTTTTGCCTCACATGATTTAGCACTGCAACTGACACACAGGCCAACTTTTGCTGTGTGGCCTTCTCTAATAGAAATGAGTTTTTAGTCGGGCAACTTTGGTTGTGGAGCTTGTGCATTACTCCCCTCCCTCCCTCCCTTCCTCCCTCCCTCCCTCCCTCCCTCCCTCCCTCCCTCCCTCCCTCCCTCCCTCCCTCCCTCCCTCCTTTCTTTCTTTCTTTCTTTCTTTCTTTCTTTCTTTCTTTCTTTCTTTCTTTCTTTCTTTCTTTCTTTCTTTCTTTCTGTTTCTGGAAAGTTTCTTGAAATCTTGTAGTGCCAAAGAAATGGAACCACTTTCCAGAGGCATCCACAGGGATTGTCCTCTGGCTGGAGAAAGGAAAACTATTGGGCAAGTTTTCAAAGACAAGTTTTGTTCTGCCCTTGGCAGTCATTTGCTTCATGTGCCCGGGGAAATAGATGTTTCTGGCCTCCATCATCACTCTCAAATTCCTTTAAAAAGTATACTTGTATTTGCAATACAATTGTATAGTTTCCCCTCCCTTTCCTCCCTCCAGCCCCTCTCAATCCCTTCCCTCCAGTCCTCAGACTCTTAGATTTGTCTCCCTCGTCATTGTGTGCAACAGACTGCCTGGAACACAGTGGTTTCAGACAGCTAAATTATTGACCAAAGAGATACTGTCGGTCGGAAATTTGGGCATTCTATGGGGATGGCTGCTCTTTGCGATCCATTATGGCTCAGGTGATGATTAACGGCCTGCAGGATCCAAGATGAGCCTCCTGCACATATAAAGCAATTAGACTCAGGACTAGACTCTGACTGGATCTCCATCTTTCCTTCTTCTTCTCCCTCCCCTCTTTTCTTACCACCCACTGTGATCTAAAGCCCTTTGAATTGCTTTACATGACAACTGCCCCAAGCTAGGGAAATCTGAAGGTGCCAGACTCTGCCACAGCAGCCTAGGTCTGAAACTGACAGAGGATCTTTCAGTTTATTGTTAGTTGTTGACCAAGGCATTGTCCCTGTGACTCTTCCTTGTTTCACACACACGTGTTCAAGATTCCTTGGTAAATAGTTTTGCTACCAATGTTGGCCAGCACAATATTTCTGATTATTGCATTTTCTACTCAGAAATGAAAGAGGAATATAGAGAAGGGACATGATTTGTCAAATCTCTCCAGCGAATGGGACAGAAAACACAGAATAGGAGTCTCACAGAGGCTTCAGGATTTCCACACAATAACTGACATTGCAGTCATTTGGACTTCAAGGGGATTAGTAATTATGTCTCTATAGTAACTTTCAGAAAATATTGCTTCTTATATGGTATGACTTATATTTGTTGCATGTTTAGAAAAGCCCTCCTTTGGAACAACTAGGCCACATTTTACTGGTCATTGTTAGGCAGACTCAAGCTGTCTTTGGGAAGCTCTGAGACTCTCCCCCTACCCCTCCCGGATCACCTACTGGGGAGTGAGCTTGCACTGTCAGCTCACCTAGTCGACACAGGAAAGCAGAGAGTGTATCATCCACATTTAGTTTACCTGATGCAGAGGCTAAGAATCTCTCTTCACTCATAAATAGTGTAATTTTATGTAGAAATCAGTAACTCATCTGTTAAGTATTGGATCCTCGGTTGCTGGATTCCTCCACCGCTGATGTAATAAGCCAAATCAGACAGAATTAATAAATCTAGATTTAATAAACAGGGCAATGCAAAGCAGAGCACTCCTGGGTGGCCCTCAGGAAGGCAGGGGACAGAACATGAGGGCACACGTAGCAGATTTATGAGCAGGGTTTGAAATAGCTGGTAGGTGTGGTCCCTGGTATCTCTGGGAGAGGAACTGCCGATGGCGGACTTTCTGAAGGGACAGGGTCTGGGGAGAGAGAGATGGGGCTTCCACCTAATCACCATCCTCAAACTCTCTTCTTTTGCTTTACCTTCTATGTAAGCATATTTTCAAGAAAGCAGTTGCTGACACTCTCTGACAAGTGGACAGCAGACATTCAACACTTACCTGATTCACCCAAAGCATTGACATGCTCACCTGAATTACTGAAGCATGTCTTCTATTACCTAGCATAGTAATAAAAAAGATTATTTTTAAGAACTCAGTGAGTCACAAAAGGATACTTCAGATAGATTTAACTGTATTCCATATCATTGTGACACATACACATTATTTTATTCTTAAGGCATAACTTTCATATTTTAATGTCACTGGGGCTGGGATGCATCTTATAGTTTATCATGACTTATGTTCAATGAAATATGATAGTTATTCAGCTTAAGATCTGTGTAATAAGGCTGCAAACTCACAGTCTATTGAAGCATGACCTAGAAGGAAAGCAAATTTAGATACATAAAGGTAAAACTGTTTGAAAAACTATTCAGTATTCATTATCTCTTACACTACATAAAATGAGGAATCTTTGTAAGAAGCAGGGGAAAGTGTGTGAAGGGATTTACTTGATGCATCCAGTTTCTGAGAGATGTGATTCAGTATCAGAGAGGACATTAAGTTTTCACCTAAGTTGTAATAGCATTTAGGTTATTATTGGCTGGTTTGTAAAACGATGCAAAGCGGGCTGCCATGTGCTGTCTTTGAATACATTCTCTACCTGCTTGACATCAGGAGAACCGGTAAACTTCCAAATTTCCCCTGGTGCCTGCACTTCAGCTTTGATTACAGGCAACACAACCCAATGTAGAATTAACATCTCATTTTTTTCCAGCCCTCATTATCAACCCGTCTTGATTATGAGGGGGTGGAGTAACTTAAATAAGGCACATAAACCCTGTGAGCCTCAGTGTGGACATATATAAACTGAGAGAGGTGTCTCCATTACACAGCCATAACATTCAAGTTTGCCTTATCCAGAACAGTGCTGCTCTCTGCCTCCTGAAAGATGTACATTTTGGTGAAATAAGCACCCCCAATACACTTTGAACGCTGATAAATTTTTAGCATCAAATTCACTTTCACCTCAAATGCCAGCATTTAAAATGACACCCTTGGATAAGGTTGGCACTCCTAAAAGTTTTGTTGCATTGAATTGAATCAAAGTAGGTGATAGTGTTGGTACCGCTGCTCGGTATACTACAACACTGTCTTTAAATCAGGCCAGGCTCGCTAAAACTGAATGACTTCTGGCTTTAGCTGAGTAACTATGCTGGTGCCAAGTCAGTGTGCAGAGTTAGGACATATACACCCAGCACATGTAGCAATGGGAGGGAACGGCAGGTCTGTTTTTGTGTGGGTGAGTCCTAAAAGGCCTTTAAAACTCAGCAAAGAGAAAGGACAGGGTAAAAAGAGAGAGAAATCCAGAGTGAACAATCTCTTTGGAAATGGCCAGTGTCTAGAGGTCTTGGTTTGTCAGATTTTGAGTGTTGACCACCGCTTCAACAAATTATTTCTGGATTCCTTTGTGTTTTCAAGATGTGGAACCTCCGAGAATCAAGTGCCCAAGTGTGAAAGAACGTATTGCTGAACCAAATAAGCTGACAGTCCGGGTGTCCTGGGAAACCCCAGAGGGGAGAGATACAGCAGATGGTATTCTTACTGAGTAAGTTGACCATGACACTTGGCAGCTGGAATGCTCTCTCTCTCTCTCCTTCTCTCTCTCTCTCTCTCTCTCTCTCTCTCTCTCTCTCTCTCTCTCTCTCCTAAAAGCCTTGTACATTATAGGTAAGCATGAGTGTTGAACTATATGACCAGTCTATGTTGTCTCTTAGGAAATGTTCTGCCATTTCCTAAATGTGAGACAGTCACTACCCAAAGTCTCTTATTCATAGCAGGATATTTTATTTCCATGTTCTAAAAATCCCCAAGATATCTTCTTCTTTAAACAAGAGGATTAGTTTTTTTTTAATTGTAATTTCTCCAAGATAAAGTTTGATCATTAAAAACATTTTCTCTTGCTATATATAAAGATCATAAAATCCCTAGGGGAAACTTTATGAAATTGAGTTTAAAAATAAGTCATATGAAAAAAGCAACTAACTATACACACATGAAATGCGTACACATTATACTATATATACTGTACTTGTATATATAGTCTATACTATGTGCATATGTGCGTACATACAAAATTTTAAAAATCACTTCAGAATTGGCATAATTTGGGGTTGGGAACTCTTTACCCTTAACTTATTACTACAGTCTTGTACAATGCCTGACTCAGTTGCTGGCATATAATCATTTCTTAGCTTTCTACAACAGCTGAAGTCCTGTACAACAAATTCAAAATGTAAAATATCAGGTCACCATGGAACCTCTTTTGTCTAAAAGTTCTGACATAGGTGTTTCTTTTGAGTCCCATTGATGACGCCTGTTATTTTCATGATGAAATAGTCTCAGAGAGATTAGCAATCACGCCTACTTGAAAGATTATCTGAAGTTACATTTGCTATCTAAGGATCTTAAGATCTTAAAGGATCTAAAGTCAAAAGTGACACCTCTGAGTGGTGGGATTTCTAATACTTTCTCAAGACTCCTCAGTTCACATGCCTTGTAAGTGTGTCCCACCTGTGTGTAAAGCTTTCCTCAGTGGTGACAATGATTATTTCATATGGCTATTATCATAAAATATCACCACTCCTAGAGGCCACAGGGAATAGGTGAGTTTTCTATACATTGAAAACTAACCAGAAACTGTCAGTTGATTGTTATACCAATTGACGTTGCTCTCAAATAGCTAAGAAGATAGATGCTATAGTTGCCATGTGTTGTCCAATCTTGGTCAAGTTCCTTAGCCTTTTGTCGCCATAGTTTCCTTTCCTACAAAATGGAGAATTTTACGTGCCTAATAGAAATTCTATGAGCATTAAATTAAATCATAGATAATAAACCATACCTGATACTTTTAAGATGTATATAAGTTAGACAATAAAAATTTGCTTTTACTAACAAAGAGTTAGGAGAGTCAAGGATTCACAGAGAACTGACCCAGATGGAAAAAGCAAAGAACATTCTAGTACCTATTGCAGGCTTAAATTGCCAAATGGCCAACTAAACTGTACTCTGAAAGAATTTTCCTCATAAAGTATTGTGTTGTCTGCCCAGCAAGGAAAACATGAAGGCTCAGCCCCCAACCCCCATTCTATCCTTCAGCAACAAACAAACGAAGGAACAAAACCATGAATCTGCTCTTAGCTGAGATCCAATTGCTCCTGTGAAGCAGACTCCAGACTCAACAGCTGCTATTTAGGTACACAAGCATAACCCTGGGTATTTCTGCTTTCTTCCTTAAGTGTTATTCTAAAAGGCCTCCCTCCAGGCTCGAATTTTCCAGAAGGGGACCACAAGATTGAATACACAGTCCATGACAGAGCTGAGAACAAGGGCACCTGCAAGTTCCGAGTGAAAGTAAGAGGTGAGACCATTGCTTCCTGTGACTGTCAAAGGAAGGGCCAGGCCCCCAAGCCAGACTGTTCTGAATGCCCCTTGTAGCACGGCTGCTGCCAGCTTTGCCTTAGGTTTTGGTGATGCTGATGGAAGTATTTCATCTTACCACCAATGCCAAGATGGGTGGGTTATGTAGGAAACAGGACTAGCTTCACAGGAGCGCACCGCCGTCTGTCCAAGAAGACTACCACTTAGTAATGCTTCTGTCTCTGAGCTGATATCTCCAGTACTTGTGATAAATAACCAGAGTGCTTAGGAGTCCCCTCTTTTTGTCTGTGTGAGTAAATCGTTTTTGAAAACTTCGTGTTTCAAGATTTGGACAGGTAGTATCATTTACTGTTCAGGGTTCAGGCTCCTCATGTGTAACACGAGGTGGCTAATGCCACTATCTATCTCAAGAATACCTTGGTATGGGCGGTGAGCATTATGCGGCATTTAATAGTCTTCCTTGCCTCTCACTCATTTCACTAGTTGCGTAACGTCATGACAAACCTCACTTTCTCTGGTTCCTTTATGGAAGGAGGGCTCGGGACTAAGGCTATTCTGGGTTTGTGTCCCCTACAGTCAGACGCTGTGGCAAACTCAATGCCCCAGACAATGGTTACATGAAGTGTTCCAGCGATGGTGACAACTACGGAGCTACCTGTGAATTCTCCTGTATTGGTGGCTATGAACTTCAGGGTAGTCCTGCCCGGGTTTGCCAATCCAATCTGGCTTGGTCTGGCACGGAGCCCAGCTGTGCAGGTATGCGTGCAGTTCTTGTTCCAGCTAGCATGAGAATCTGATGTCCCCTGATTCCAGGGCAGGAAAAAGCAGCTTCATTTCCTGCACGTTCTAAAGTTCAGTGTCAGCTCTGCTCATCTGAGCAGGTGAAAAGCCCATGCTGTAGCTCATCTTACCTGCCTCCTTATCTTGCTTTTGTCTGTTCTCTGGTTCCCCACTTGGGCATTTGAAATCCTTCCTCCTGTGTAAAATGAGGAAAATCATACCTCTCTTAAATGTGATCATCTACTGAATGCTGTAATAGAACAGTTCCTGGTACATGGTAAGCCTTCAAAATGTACCAGTGTTATTCTGTTTGTTTGTTTTTCCCCCAGAGACAAGGTTTCTCTGTGTAACAGCTCTAGCTGTCCTGGAACTAGCTCTGTAAACCAGACTGGCCTCAGAGTCACTGAGGTCCGCCTGCCTCTGCCTCCCGGGTGCTGGGATTAAAGGTGTGCACCACCACTGCCTGGTATGCCAGTCATTCTTACTGATGAACAGCAACTGGGCTGAGAGTGTGAAATCTAGACTAACTTTTTTGTATGCTTCCCCTTGTCTCAATCCCGGGTATCTCTTCCTTTTCCCCTCCTTTAACTCTACCATTCAGAGCAGGTGGATGAAGCTCTTCTATTTAATATATTAAAACAGAAAAGTCTCAGACTCCTCAGATAAGTACATAATACCCATTTTTGTGACACTGAGGCCTGGAGTACATTATCAAATGATCTCATAAATCTATCTACCTGCTAACAGTATATGGGCATGAAGCACTTGAAATAAGTCCAAATTCAGGTATGTGGTCAGTGTAAAATACACACTGATTTAAAAGTCTTAGCACAATAAAGAATATAAAGCACCCCTAATTTTTTGTATTGGTGGCATGTTGAAATATTTGAATATATTGGGTTGACATATAAAGCTCTTGTCACATATTTATTTGTACATGTCTAATGAAGCTATTAGAAAAATTTAAATTGTAGACTTATGTAAACTCTATTTATATTGACCCAAACTGTCCTAGACTGTGAGCCCTAAAGGCAATGTTAGAGATAATAACTGCCTCTCATTCAGAGCAATAGCCCAGATGTTGACACATAATTATCACTCAGTGTAGTTGACTGGATGAAAATTGCAATGAACAATGATTTTAAAGCTAACCTTGTTTGAAATATTAGCACCAAGTTCATAAAACCTACCTAGTGTGTTCTCATTTTTCTTTTGTAATTTCCTTTTCAGAGGCAGACTGTTTGCTGCTATGTGGACTGAGCCAATCATTTAGAGCTGTTTTTCATTGATCAGTTTCCATGGAAGAATTAGAATTAAACTTGGCTCCTGTTCTTCGTGGCCATATCAAAAGAACGATGAATTTATGTTAGACTAAGCCACTGAGTTTAATGTGATGCATCACAGCAACAAGAGAAAGCTAGGGCGCCTCGTCTGTCTGTTACTGGTGTTTCAGGAACTCACTTCTGAAATCAACTGCTTAAATTTGAATTCTCATCTCAGGGTCTACTTAGGGTTTTGTATGTGCTTGGCTAAGCTAAGCCAGAATTTACGCGGTGAACTTATGTGACCATTTCTGATTACAGCAATGAATGTCAATGTTGGTGTCAGAACAGCAGCGGCACTCCTGGATCAGTTTTACGAGAAAAGGAGACTTCTCATTGTGTCCACACCCACAGCTCGAAACCTCCTCTACAGACTGCAGTTGGGGATGCTGCAGGTGAGGCCTTGGCAAAGCTAAGGTGGGAGGGAGACCTCTAACAGGAAGAAGATGGGCAGTTCGCTAAAAGCAAAGGCCAGACTCAGTGCCTAATCCATTTAGGGCGAGTTTAAGGGACCAGCACTTTAAAGACAGTCATTCATTTCTGGTGCTGGTGTATAACCTTATTAACATTGACTCCCCAGAGTTAACCCAATCATTCTCCAACCATCGAGGTTTGTCTGTCTTTGCTAATAAGCTTAATTGACATGCTGTCCAGGCCCAGCCCAAGAACAATTGGCTTTGCTGATCCTATCCAGCACATTCATAGACACGAGGTGATCCATCAGTTATCTTCCCGATAGACTGGCTAAGGAGATAAAAAGCATCCGAGAGCCTCTAGGCACCATATCCCTCCCTGGGAATGTCCCCTATTCTAATGAAAGTGAATTTTGCTTCTACTCAATGAGACACTCAACATGTTGGGGGAGGGTAGAAACTGCAAGGATCATACTAGAAGTTGCCTGTTTTTGTCTTGAAGTTGGTCAACTTCACCAAACGCTAAAGAAGCAGGATCTGCTGCACTTCCTTTCTAGGATCTCTCGTTCATTAATTCCTGTTAGAACGATCTTGGTTTAATCGAAGGCAGCAGTTTAGTACCCACGTCAGCGTAAATACAATGACTAGTGAGTCTTTCTTCCACTACTTTTTTACCATCTGAACAGGTCACCCACGAACCATGAAGAGCCACATGAAATGTTTGGGTTACCTTTATAAGAGCCAAATTCACTAAATCTGTATCATAAATCCCTGGCACCCTACCTGCTATTGTACACCTACCTCTGTCTTAATTAGGGTTACTATGGCTATGTTGAAGCACCATGACAAAAAGCAACTTAGAAAGGAATGGTTTATTTGGCTTACAGTTTCACATTCATAGTCCATCACTGAGGGAAGTCAGGCAGGAATGCAAGCAGGGCAGGAGCCTGGAGGTAGGAGCTGATGCAAAAGTCAGGGAGGGGTGCTGCTTACTAACTTCCTCCCCATGACTTGCTCAGCCTACTTTCTTATACAGCCTAGACCACCAGCCCAAGAAGGGCACCACTCACAATAAGCTGGGCCCTCCGTCATCAATCACTAATTAAGAAAACTACAGGCTTGCATACAGTTCACTCTTATGAAAGAATTTCCATAATTGAGGTTTCCTCCTCTCAGATGACTTTAGCTTTTTGTTAAGTTGGCATAAAACTAGCCAGCACAACCTCCTTGCTCCTCATAAAAGGTAAATGCATATACTTACCTGGTTTTATGGTCCTTGGCATAGCAGCATGACATGGCCACACATGCCTTGAGCCCTTATCTCTGAAAAAATGAATAAACCCATAAACTCGCCTTCTATATCAGTAAACCTTGGCTCATGACCAAATTTGTCCTATTGCTAGCCCTCAACCTTAGCCCATTCACGTTCCCCCAGCCCCCAGTTAAACTCCTGATTAGCTAGTTGGCTATGGCATTTTGGATCTAGATATTCTTATATTTTTCTTCTTACCAACTCATTCACACTTACCTTCTAGGATGTGGTTGACTTAGTAATAATTGTATTGCTTCATATAGTATTGTTGAAAAAGTTCAGGATTTAAAAATTGCTTTTCCCATTCAATCAGATTCATCTTATTTATCTTCTGTTAATTTTTTTTATTTTGATTGTCGCTGCTGCTCCTTGTGAGACCACCTAACATGTAGTTGACGGAGCCACATCCTCTACGAGTTTCTCCTTGTTTCCTTGGGGTTTGGGTATGGGGAACATAGGGCAGGAGTGTGTGGGGGATGGATAATTAGTAAAGAAAGGGGAACTCTGAAAAATCTTAATTCCTTATAAGAATGAGATTAGAAACTTCAGGGTGGGGATAGTTTTAGGAATTTGACTCATGTAAAGTCTCACCATGTCTAGAAGTGCCTTAGAGTAACCATTGTGTTTAGGATTCCAAAATCCCATTGCCCAGCTGTTTTGCATAATTCCACTAGGAAGATACTTAGATTTTCTAGGCACCAGATTAGACTTAGTTTTTCAGCTGTTTTCAGTACAATTTGGAATGGGCAAAGAAGCACCCACAGGACCATTGCTGGGGTGCCAGTCTGCAGTTCCTTAGTTATACTCACTCACACCTGCTCTGTTGCTTCTACCCCCAGCAAGCACAGTGTGGCCTGGATCTTCGGCATGTCACAGTGGTGGAGCTGGTAGGAGTGTTCCCGACCCTCATTGGCAGGATCAGAGCAAAGATTATGCCTCCAGCTCTAGCTCTGCAGCTCAGGTAAGGAGCTGCTCTCTCCTTAAATTTCATTCCCTGTGAATACACTTGGATCTCACCATGGTTGCTCTTGTACCCAGTCAGGTTCCCTGATTTTTTTTTCTATTCAGTATTTAATTCAGGCAACCTTCAGTGTTTAATTACTTTTATTCTGGGAGTATTATAATCATGCTAGTTGACATGTTTCTGCATGTTCAACTGAATTATGCAGTGGAAAATTGTTAGTGTTTTCTTTCCCTTCCAACCAAGCATATTCTCTCTCTCTCTCTCTCTCTCTCTCTCTCTCTCTCTCTCTCTCTCTCTCTCTCTCTCTCTCCTTCTCCCTCTCTCTCTCTGTTAGAAGGAGAGGATGATTTGAAAACAAAATGACATAAGCAGCAGTTCTTGCCATATTAGGATAGATACTAATTAGCCCTTTCAGGCTTGATCTCCCCCCGCCCCATTCTTTCCTGAGCACTTGTCCATATCTCTGTTTCAACAATTGTATCTCCTTTTTGTCATGCTTATAAAGCTAGATCCCTAATAGTTAGACCTTGAGTAACGTATTAAAGCCATATTTAGCAGCTAAAAGACAATTTCAGAAATAACCTACATTTTTTCTTGTATCTCTTGGCCACCTTGAGATGGGTAATGAGGATAAACTAACACTTCTTTTTATTTATTTATTTATTTATTCATTCATTCATTTATTTATTTACTTTTGGTATTTTGAGACAGGGTTTCTCTGTAGCTTTGGAGCCTGTCCTAGAACTAGCTCTTATAGACCAGGCTGGCCTTGAATTCACAGAGATCCGCCTGCCTCTGCCTTCCTAGTGCTGGGATTAAAGGCATGCGCCACTGCCGCCTGGCTAAACTAACACTTCTTAAAATTTTCCTTTCTTGCCTAGCTTTTATCTTTGGTATACTGCAGGGGACAGAGTCAGTCTCTGTTCTCAAGGTCCCAGAAGTCTCCTTGTCTTTTGGAGTCTCAGATTGCTTTACTATCTTTTACATTAACTTCTGAAGCACACATATCCTTTCAGTTTTCTGAAAATGGGGAAGAAAGAATGTAAAAGTAAATAATAGTATTAGTAAGGTTCTTGTTGTTACATCAAAATACCAGAGGCAAGCAACTCCTACAGTTGTTTCTTTTGCTCATAATTCTAGTGGCTACAATCAGAGATGGGGAAACTCTATTGCTTTGAGTCTCTAGTGAAGGTCACCTCTCATGAAGGGAACACATGGTCATGTAAGTTACTTATATCAATGGCCAGGAGATAGAAAGACAAAGAGACCAGCCATAGAAGACAGAGACAGGGATCTCTGGAGCAAGCTGGCTATCTAGATTCGCCTTGTCAGTGAGCTCTGGTTTCAATTGAGAGCTCCCAGTTTGATGAATAAGATGGAGAGCCATTGAATCAGTCTCCTGATGCCAACCTTGGGCTACCATAGCCACATGCACACATATGTACATGTACCTGCACATATATAGTATATAGTATACACACATGCAAGCACAAACACAGACACATATATACCACAAACCCGTTCATACATAAAAATAAAATTTGTTGCAGTTTTTAAAATTACTTTCTTAGGATAATAGGTGGTAGACACAGATACACACATACATGATAAATGCATACACAACAATAATAAATTCTTGGTGTAATTTAAACTGTTAAATGAAGAACAGAGTATACAGGAAGCAAAAAGGACATCACCTTAATAATCTTATTATTTTTAGACTTGAAAAATAGTTATTTCAAGTATTTTCACAATGGAAGGTGAGCCAGGAAGAGTTCCTTCCAATCTGATAATTGTCATCTTGTAGTTCAGAAATGCTGCCAACCTCAAAGCAACCTCACAATCCATGAGGTACTTTACCACCCACCTCTGAGACATCTCCACTGGGACCCACTTGTGTTGCTGTTGCTGATGTGACCACTTCTCCTTTCCCACGGCGGTTGTCCCCCCTCCCTTTTTTGTTAATATTCTGTGTTAATCAAGGTACAAGAGTCACATGAAGAATGTGTGTAATAGCCAGGGGGATGTTACCATTTGGGCCTCAGAACTGTTCTAAAACCACGTGGAGCAGTGTTTCATCCAGCTATCTTTCCTCGAGGCTCCAGCCGTGGCATCACTTGGTGCTTTTCTCCTTCCATCCCTGCTTAGTTTCCTGGAACCTTCTTGTGCTTGAACTTACCTCAGCGACTTCGACTGTGGGGTGCCTGGTGGAGGCAGTATAGTCATCTTCCTTTGGATTTCTAGTCAATAGATATGTATTAGCAAGTCAGCTTTCCACGGGGGAAAATACTAATTATTTCCTCATTTCATGAAACTGCTTTTTGAGAAGACCAGTCAGTTTATATTTTATGCAATAATATCTTTATTAATTTTTCAAGTTAGCATAAAAATGAATGGGTTTCATTAAGGCATTTTCATGCATGTGTATTATTATGTTTTCTTTTAATTCTTCCCCTATCTCTGACTGGCCTACCCATTTCACTACTTTTTCTTTATACAATTAAAAAAATCACGGAACCGTTCATAAGGGGAGAAATCACTTTAAATTTATATGTCAGAGTATGTTCTGCCTCTTTTATTTCATCTGGAACAAAAGCAGGAGAGGAGACTGGGTGGCCTTGTTATTTCACTGGGCTCAGCTATCTGCTTCCTTTTCTCTTGACTTTCTCATTTTAACTTGCTGGTAGTGATATAAAACATCTACATAGATGAAATCCATATGTTGAAAAACTACCACACATTTGAAACCATGCCAGAATACTTTTAAAACTTATTTGTGGAACTAATTATAGTCAAATAAGGAGGAATGTCTGGGCTACACCCAGACAGTTCTAATTTAATTCCTGAAATAGTCATCACTATCATTTTTTTGAATGTTACTTTAATCAATTGTACCTTCTTCAACCTTAGCCCTTTGGACACTGGAGGCTGGATTTGCCTGTTTAGAAAGCTGGCCTGTATTGTAGTTTAAATATAGCAGTATGTCTTACACTTATCAATTAGATGCCAGTAGTAACTATAACTCCCTTCTTAGGACAACCAAAAGTGTGTTTAGACATGGACAAATGTCCCCTGAGTGCTCAAATACTTTTTCTGGATAATCATCACCATTATAGCTCTGACATTACTGCTCCCCAAATCTAGCCTTGTTCTACATGCTGTGTAGCAACTTTGGTTTATAGTACCATAGCTAGCCTGAGATATTTCAGACCCCAATAATCTAAAGCAGAATTTCTCAACTTTTCTTCTGAATACCAAGTATCTGAAGATATTACTAATAACACAGATTCTAATTTGTTAGGTTTAAGGTCAGACATTAGCAAGTTCTTTCATGTGATGCTATGGGTCCCAGGTCCACACTTTGAGTGGTGGGGGCCTAAAAATGATTCATTCCTTCATAGCATCTAGGCATCAAGCATTTCTCTAAAAAGTATTACCAGAGGGATCTGGTTGCTCCCTAGAAGTCCTGGAGGTCAGGGTTTAACAAGTCTTCTTTTTATTTATTCCAGGCTGTTGCTTCGAATCCCACTCTACTCCTTCAGCATGGTGCTAGTGGATAAGCATGGAACGGACAAAGAACGCTATGTCTCCCTAGTGACACCAATGGCTCTCTTCAACCTCATTGACACTTTCCCCTTGAGAAAAGAAGAGATGATCCTACAAGCTGAGATGGGCCAGACTTGCAATACCTGATGTGATGTTACATTCTTGGTGGTTCCTCATCTCTTTTTACGTAGTGCCCTGCCTTACATAGTGAGTGCCTTTTACCTGGGAAGGCCTTAAAAATATCCTTGATGTACAGATTTTCATTTGTAATTTTTAAAGTCTATTTTATTATGTGCTTTCTTGGCCCTTAAAAATTGGCACAATGTTTTTTTAACCTTGAAATGTTTCAAAGTATTGGAATATATTTACTCTTTCTAACTCTCCCTTTAGTCTGGTATTAGAAACTACAATCGCACACATACTCTCAGCGTATTATTCGTTGTCAAGCATACTTTTCTTTCCTTTTATTGTTTATATAAGACTTTTGTTAATAAAATATTTTGAAGCAAACTTACAAACACCAAGTTTACGTGCTTCATGTGCTCAGTAGTTTGAAGTTTTTTTGTTTTTTTTTTTTCGAGACAGGGTTTCTCCGTAGCTTTTGGTTCCTGTCCTGGAATTAGCTCTTGTAGACCAGGCTGGCCTCAAACTCACAGAGATCTGCCTGCCTCTGCCTCCCGAGTGCATGTGCCACCACCGCCTGGTCCAGTAGTTAGAAGTTTTAAACCGCCATTCTTTGTTTATCTTAAAAAAGGGAAACTGTAGTCCTGGCAAGGGGCCAAGTGAAGTGGAAGAGAGCTGAGACCCCAAGTGACAGAATAGAAAATTAATATAATAATCCAAAAACCAAAGAACAAACCTTTGACGTCTTGCAGCTAATGGTGTCAGAGCTTAAAGCTAGAGAAGGTGTTGACTCCCCTAATTGCAGTTCCCCACGTAACAATGTATTTCCCTTGTATGAGGAATTCTCAGTAATCCAGAGCTGTTTTAAAGCATACAGGAAGATACACATAGGTTATAGGCAACCATAATGAGATTCTATATAAACAGTTCAATACCCACAGATTGGGTTATGCTTGAATGTCCTGGAACCATTATTCACTTCTAGAGTCTGTATGTGAAGGTGAAACATTGCGCATCTCAGTGTTTGTTGATGGGTGGAGCTTCAAACAAATGAATCTACCAGTCATACAGACACTGGAGTCAAGTTGAAGTTTAGGAGTGGAAAAGTACTGTCTCAGAATCCTGAGAACTGTCTTCAAATCTCCTTATTTCCTTCTACTCTCAGTAAGAGATCGTATCAGAGATACTTGGAGTATGTCCTCCTTAGAGGACATGCTAATAATGGTAGAGAAATATCACAGAACATCACTACAAGACAAGGAACTACAGAAAATTAATGACTGCTGAGAGAAGGAGAATTAGCTTCTCTCAGGGATGATTCCTCAAATGGGTTACCGAAATCAAAATGTCAGACAGAAACTATATAACACAAGCTAGGCTAAAGGGACTCAGTAGGTTGTATTTATGTATTTATGCATACATCTGTACCAATAATAACAAAAAGAGGTTATCAGTTTGGGAAGGAGTTAGGGGAAGAAACATGGAGGGTTTTGGAGGGAGGGATATGGGAAGATTAGAGAGAGGACAGGAATGGGAGAAATGATGTAATTATATATTTTATGTGATTTAAAATGTGTCATCTCTTTTTATTTCTGTTGTGATTCTTTTATTTATTTATTTTTTAAAAGAAAACTATCTTTTCTCATTTTACATACCAATCCCAGTTCCCACTCCCTCCCCTCCTCCCATTCCCTCCATTTACCCCACCCCCACCCCACCCCCTATTCACTCCTCAGAGAGGGTAAGATACACTGCTTTGGAAACCGTCCAAGGCCCACCCTACCGTATCTAGGCTGAGCAAGGTATCCATCCAAAGAGAATAGGTTCAAAAAAGCCAGTATAAGCAGTAGGGATAAATCCTGGTGCCATATTTTTAATTAGAAAAAAGACAAGGTCCTAGAAATGAAGGCACTGAAGCAGGAGTGTAAATGCACTTGACCTCGTTTTTCCTTGGTACCTACTACATCTGTTGATTCAATTAACCTTGTATTGAAAATATTCAGACAAGGTCACATGATGCCTATATTGAAATTGTACAGACTTTTCCCTCACTGTTTCCAAACCAATAAAGTATGAAACATAAGTCTAAACATTTCCCTTATATGGGCTACTATACGGAATTCAGAGATGTTTAAAGTATACAGGTTAAGTTTATAGATTAAAGGTAAGTGCTATGCCATTTTATATGAGAAGTTGAGTAACTTTTGCGGTCCTCAGTTTGTGTGTATGTAAAAGTAGGGCTGAACTCTCGACTGCAACACACCCACAGAAGTTTCCACTCACTGGTTGCATAACAGATCCCTTTGTGGGGAGGTCAGCTTTACTTATTAGGCCTGTATTTGTATTTGTTAGTGGTTGAGCCTGAAAAATCACACCTTGGAATTTAATGAAAAGCTAGATTTTATTCCTAGGCAACCATTTCCAAACATTTCTGGTATCAGTTTGACCTATAATCTATTCTTAAACAAAATAGTGAAATGATAGAAAGTTCAAGTTCCAACGTATAGTGGCTTAAAGTAAAAAGTATAAACGGGGGAGGAATGTCAATTGGTGATGAACTTCACAAAGTACCCTATGCCATGGGACAGTGTGAGAGGAACTTATCTGATTTATTCAAACTAGTCTTTCTGGTTACTTGGAAATATTATAGCACTTTGACCCTGACCCCCAAATATGCAGATTATTTGAATACAAATGAATGCATGTGTGACCTGTGATATTTGAAAATTAAACACTCTATAGGATGACATGGGAAACACTTCAAAAATGTTATCAGTTGCTATCTCTAGAACACAAGTTTCTCCCTGGAAATTTCACAGAATATTTTACATGTACATTGTGAAATCCTAGAAAGAAACAGCTGGATCTAGGGAGATAGCTCATAACAATTGGTAAAGTACTTGCTGTGTAAAACAAGGACCTGAGTTCTATTTCCAGCACCCATGTAAAACGTCAGGCAAGGAGGCTCCCACTTCTCAACCTTTGGCTTCCACATCAAAGCATGCATGTGTAAATATATATTTTCATAAACAGCATGAATACACACACACATAGAAACAACAAACAACCCTCATTGCATGTTGTGTGTTCATGAGAGAGAGAACACTAAAGGATACATATTCTTGAGCACATGTGTATAGGGAAGAAATAGGCAGTTAAATGAACTAAAGTCCAATAGAAAACGCTGTCTGCTCAGTAGATGTCAGCAGAAATTCTCATTTAATTCTTTAAGTTATCAGGCCTGCTTAGAATCTATCTTGTCTGTTTTAGTTACAGAATCTGAGTCTTCTCATCTGGCTCTTTTCTGAGATACCTCATCATTTTTCAATTGCTATCATTTCTCTGACTTCTTCACCTTTTAAAATAAAAAGGCTACACATTTTATATCTTCATTTAAACATCCTCTCACCTACAGGGGTATATATTGTAATTTATCCTTAATCAAACATCTCAAAACTGAAGTTTATTTGACTTCTGATAAGTGATGACAATCTTCTAGTTTGCTAGTTTTTTGATTGCCCTAAATACTTCAATATGGTATATTTTTTTAAAATCTAGATATGGCAATTTTCTATAAGTGGATGGTTCAATGGGAGTTTTTTAACCTATATCAAAAAGTTAATGAACATTGAAGTAGGGGGTGGAGAAGCAGGTTGACCCAAGTCCAGGATGTAGATATTTATCTTGGTCATTTATTATTACAGTGAAATTACTCCAAAACTCAGTGACTTGAAGAAATAAACATTTTATTATCTCACAATTTCTGTGTGTCAGGGATTTGGGGGGAGTATTGGCTTGCCAAATTTGTATTGAAGTTTCTGATGAAGCTGTAGTCATCTGAAGACCTGACTAAAGCTAGAGGATTCATGGTGACTCTCATGACTGGTTCTTGGAAGGTGCCTCTGTTCTTGCCCACATGGGCTTCATTACTCTCAGAATATGACAGTTGGTTTCTTCTAGTGGAAATGAGTCAAGAGTGATCAAAAATAGAAACATTGTCTTTTATGACAGTGATTCAAGAGATAAACTGTTTTACTGTATCCAGTTTGCCACATAGGTCAGCTCTCCTCTCCCTCCCTCTCCCTCTCTCTCTCCCTCTCTCTTCTTCCTTCCTTTTTTCTATTTCTTTCTTTCTTTTTGTGTTTTTTTTGTTTGTATTTATGTTTTTGTTTTTCGAGATAGGGTTTCTCTCTAGCTTTGGTGCCTGTCCTGGAACTTACTCTGTAGACCAGGTTGGCCTCGAACTCACAGAGATCCTCCTGCCTTTGCCTGCTGAGTGCTGGAATTAAAGGTGTGTGCCCAAGGTCAACCCTTTTTGATATGGAAGCACAGCATAAAAGGACATGGATACTAAGAGACAATAATCACTGGGGGCTATTTTCAGGCTTAATTCCACTGGGTACCATACATCTTGGAAAATTCTTGAATGGAACCATGCCTTTTTGTGGGAATAAAAATAGAAAGACTTTGGAATAATTAAATATAATTCTCATTGTGACTCCCAGCTTTTGTAGACAAACCTCTGATTTCCTAGCTTCTTGCAAGATCTTTTATTCTGTAGTTCCATGTAGTTCAGAGAGTTTTTGAAATCTTGTCATGTAGTCTACATTTATTTAGTCTTCTATAACACATGAAATTGAAACTACATGGAGCAGATTCTATTCTTTGAAACCAAGATAGAAAAACACAAATGGCAAAACTGAAAGCTGTCTCAAATACGTATTTTTAAACCTTGCTTACTTGCAATTATATAATTCGTAGAAAATTTCAAGTAAATTTTAGAGAAATATATCATCAGGCATGATGTAATCAATTGGCATGATTAGCCTCCCCCATCAATCCAGGTGGAGCAAAAAGAGAAGGCATGTGTGGTGACTAATCTATGGAGAGATGAGTTAATTGTAGCATTGATGAATCATGTGATTGCCCATGAGGACAAGAATCCATCTGAAAAGAAATAAAAGCAATAGTGGAGCTGGCATATTGAAAGATTGTTAGAACAGGTATTGATCTTAAGGTAGTTAAAGAATAAAGTAAAAATAGAGATTGAGTGCCTTTAGGAAGAAAGCATTATCAAAATTTGTCCATGGTTCTTCATGGTCATGGGTGCTTTGTCATCTGACACTTGTCCATGGTTATTCGTGGTCACTGTTAACTGTGCTTTGCCATCTCACACTTGATTGTGGTCACCAGTAACTGTGCCTTGTCATTTGACAATTGTTCATGGTTTTCCGTGGTCACTGGTAACTGTGCTTTGCAGTGTGATATTTCTCCATGGTCACTGTTCACTGTGCTTTGCCATCTCACACTTGTCCGTGG